TTTTTTTATTTCAATTTAAAAGAATGAAATCGAGAAATGAAACATTGAAAAATGTTTCAAAAATTAAAAAAGTTTTAAAAATCCAATAGTTTTGTTAATTTTCCACATTTTCTTTTCTTTTTCTCTTTCAAAATTAACTGTTTTATGGATGTTTTTGCCAAATTTCTAATTTTTAAAATGGGCTTTTCCAAGTTGCACTCTTTTCAAATTTCTATTTCTATTGGTCTGCATGAATGTTGGCAACAGCATTGAGCTTGAAGTTAAGAGAATGTTACAATGGCCAAAACGTGGAAACGCAGCAGGCGACGAACCAAGCTGCAAAAACGTGTAAAGCACACTACAAAACACCAAAGGCGAAAAAGCAAATGCAACAAAAAAAAAGCTGCAAACAAAAAAGAAACAAGCTGCAAAAGCACAGCAAGCAGAACTGAGCTGCAACACACGATAATAGTTTGTTCTTTCTTTGATTCCCTCTAGAGGTCTGGAGCATTTTCTGGTGCAACTTTGCTTCTTTTTTTACTATTAGCATGATTTTCTTTCTGTGATTGCAGCGTTTAGTTTTATGATGTTTTATTTCTTATTTGTTTTGTTGATTGTAGGTGTTGGCTTCTATTTTTAGTGATTAAAGCATTTTTTGTTTACATGTTTGTCTGTTTGGAGTTTGCATCATACATGAGTTTGCAGCTCATTTAGTCATTGCTCCACATTTGCAGAGTTTTTCTGTTGCATTCATTTTTGTGTCCTTGCATGTTTTGCAGGTTGTGTCACTCAGCTTTGCAGCTATTTTTCTCATTTGCAGTTCGTTTGCACCTGTCTCGCACCTTAGAATCTGATTTATAAGAAATATAATATCTATAAAACTATGAAAAAACATTTTTATATATAAAATCTATAAATAAAACAAATTGAAAAAATTATTTTGGCAAAAAATTGAAATAAATATAAAAAATACATTAAAAAATAAGAGAAAACTAAATCTTAGTAAACAGCAAAGGTGTGCTGAAAGCTTTTTGTTATTCAAATTTTTTCCAAAATGTTCTTTTTGGATTGCATTTTTTTTTTTATTTCAATTTAGAAAACAAGTTCTCTAGTTTCAACAATAATAGCACTAAATTCACTTCATATTTCTACATAGTTACCTAGACNTTTTTTTATTTCAATTTAGAAAACAAGTTCTCTAGTTTCAACAATAATAGCACTAAATTCACTTCATATTTCTACATAGTTACCTAGACAGATGCCACCCCTGGACTCAAAACCTTCCTTACAAGTGTGGATATCAAGCCTCGAGGGGTTTTTGTGAGCCTCCCTCCGATTACGGTTCATGTAGCGCCTGCTTGTGGTGCCAGTATAGGAGTTGTAGCTGTGAGAAGCAAAGCTGTGGTACAGCCGCTGGCTCGGTCTTTGTTCAGGAGAGGACTGAGACGTGCGGTAGCCATATGAGTAACTTTCGTAGCTGGGTAGACGTTCCAGCCCAGCGCAGGACTTGCCATCTCCCAGCAGGTGGCGCCCTGGTGGGCAAGTGCACTTGAAGCTACCAGGAGTGTTGATGCACTGATGGGCACAGGGCTGAGGGAGTCGCTCACACTCATTTATGTCTGCCCTCACGTAAAAGATAGACCAGCACCAGGAGGATAAAATGAGTGAGAAATAGAGGATGAGGAGAAAGGAGAGGGTGATGCATAAGTGAAGAAATGTCATAGGAGGGATGAAGATGAGAGAGGAAGGGGGAGGATGGAATATATTAATAAACTCACAGTATGATGAAACAGTGTCATGTTTATGAGAGAGAAATGTATTGACACTATGCTAGGCATGGGCCGGCTGGTCGCACGCTATGGTTTGGTAGGCAGACTGATTACTAAGGGGTGGACCTGTTTTTTCAGTGTGTTCTCATTATCAGTTCGTATGAAATCGTACGAAAAGTTATGCACCGTAATTTCGTACGTTTTCAACGTTTTTTTCATTGTATTTCGTCATATTTTTACGTCTTGCCTCGAGACAAGATATCCTTGCGCATGTTACGCACCATTCAATAACATAGAATTTAACATACAATTAACCCTAACCCTAAGATATAAAACAGCAAGCAACGTAGTTAGAGACATGAAGAAGTAATTATAGCACTGTTTTTCACAGTTTTACGTCCGTCTGCGGATCTGCTTTTTTCGTCTGTCTGGTTGCGCATGCGCACTGATCTGTTTTTGAGGATAAACGTCAAAAACGTACGAAATACTGTGCACAACTTTTCGTACGATTTCATACCAACTGATAATGAGAATATGTTGTTTTTTTCAGTTCAATTTGCATGTTTTCTAAGCCAAAACAAAATTTTTGTTTGGGCTACTCTATAAGCCTAGAACTCAAACGCTACTTCTGACATTTTGAATTGAGAAAGCTTCCTGGATGGGAAGCAAAATGTCTTCAAACTTGGAAACAAAATTCAGTTTTGTTTGAAACTTTGTTGGAATCTTGTTAGATTCCAAAGC